CAATGTTGAGCCAATCATGAAATGAGTGAAACTGGATTCGCCTGTCAATACACTGATATTTATTGAGAGCCTGAACGGCCGGAGAGTTCACAGCATATCACAGTTCTCCTGTAAGATCCCAGCAAACTCTGCCCAAAAGCGCCAAGCACCCCTCTATACAAAGAGAAGAGGAGGGCCCTAAAACACGCGGGTTTTCCTTTAATGCATGCCAGATGTCGAGACAAAGACTCGTTGCATTGGAAACCCACATGAGCCAAGCTTCTCCCCCACAAGACATCAGATGACCTCTTGACCTGTGTCTTCCTGAGAAGCTATGGATCACATTACAGGCAGGAATACACTTCAACCATATGAACAGATTCCCGAGGACAAATCACTAAACTCTATATACTTTAACAAGACCAAAATATCTCCTTTACAAACTATACCTTCATTTAATATTCAGCAATAATAATACGTCTATAGTTTGCAGTGTTAAAATCAGTAGGTTTCGGTGTGCCATCACTCCATGTCATTTCGCTACTAATTAACCTCTATAAGAAATGGTTAACTAGCCACATGCTAACCGGAGATGAAGGATTTTCAGAATAAAGCTTAACTGGTTGTGCACAATAATTTTCTGGTTTTTCAGTATAAAACAGCATTTAAACTGAAGGTACATTTAAGGTACATTATGCCATCAAAACACTTGATTTTTAATTTCTAACAAGAGTCGTAGTCATATTTCGTGAACACTTTGAAGAGTACTGTCACGCCGGTGTGATCATTCTATAATACACCTTTAAGCCCGGATGCCCCCCGAGGGAGACATGCTAATGCAACATTAGCATGTTGATCTTTTATTACTTCATGCTATCTGCACAAATGGTTAACATTGAACATTAAAAAGATCAGGCAGTTCAGGAAGAATTGAAGGCAGGCAGGCAGCTTTGCATGACATTCTCTGGACGTGTTTCATTGTGGTGATAGTGAGGGTAGTCAATCCCTTGTTTGGCAAGACAATAGTTGACGGCCATCTTGGTGACGTGTGTTTTTGTGTGAGACCAGAGATGTAGTTCATTGAGCGGTTTTCACACAAAAAAAGTCTTACTTCACAGTTTTACGGCAAAACATTTTTTTTTTACTTGCAAAATTATCTTTTAAATTGACAAACATCATATGTGTAATTCGTGGCACAATTCAAACGGGATGGAAAGATAACGTTTCTCTCGCCATTGACCTTCAATACTTAATTTTTTCCGAAATAAGGTCCCTTGGAGGTCCACCGGAAAGGGAGGGACTTCACCTCTCTATTTACTCGGCATTTCCCGGGTATTTCTCCACTCGTTGGGCCCATGGATGTATAATAAGAACTGGATACAGCGTGGGAGGCGGGGCCTCATTCATTCCTATGAGAGTTGCTCAATGGCGCATGATGACAAAATGGCCCAACTTTTGAGAGAGCGAAACGTCACCGATTACCCGGCATGCCTGAGAAGTACCCAGTATGGCACTCATAGAGCATGCGCAACTTTAACCACGCTGCCCAAAAGGCTTCGTTCACATTAAGCACGTGAATTTGCGTACACGTAACAGCACCGCGCGTTCATGACAGCATGGTACTGGATTTATATTAACGAGGCGGCAGTTAGCAGCTAGTAAATTATGCTAAGTTACACATCAATCGTTATGTACTTTATATTACGCTGACATCAGGATCTAGTGATATCCAAGCAACAGAGCTTCATGTAGCATGATACTTGTGTGGGTTGTACATGCAACCACTTGGTAATATATAAACATGTATATGTTGAAGCCTGTTATGATCAATTGTGAGTTAAAACTTTATCTAAAAAGTAAAGCTGATGATGGATTACTGTGGTGGAGTTAAAATAAACAATAGCCTATTTCTTTTTGAAATGTGATGGAGTAAAAGGATAGTAACTGTGATTATTCATGTTAGCCCACAAGTAACTAAAACAATTGCAAGTGCAATAAGAAGCTACAGGACCGTTAATCTACGTCGGTAATATTAACTTTATTTAATACAACATTTACGGTACAAGATTTACATCATACAGCCCATGTAGTATCATATTTTACAAATGAATGAATTACAGCAAACATGTGCAATATATCCATTATTACATCTCTGTGGGCTGGGCAGAAGGCGATATGGTCCGTTGTATTGTGCATCCATGGATAAAGAGAAACTCATGTAGTACTGAACACGTAACATGAACGTGCCGGGCGGCGCGGTCCCGTGGGTTAGATGCGCGTTTCATAATGCCGAGTGAAATACCTCAGAATAACGTTATTAGCACATTTTTACAACTTGAGGAACGAATGTTTTTAATAAGGGCTATACAAACGTTCATACTGGGTAGTTTATTTAGTTTAAAAAAAATTATCCAACGAGTTACAGACCACTCTTTCCCCATGTAAGTCAATGGAAAAAGTGTTTCCGGGCCCAGCAAGCAAAAGGAAGTGTAGTACCGCCGTTTGACCAGCACGAATATTCTCATCAGACTCCGGCGCACTTCCTGGGGGCTTGGTTGGGCCATGTTAACAATACCGTGTAACTGTACAGTTTGAAGGGACGAAATCGTGACAGCTTCACGTCTCCCAGCATGGTTAAATCGTCACATGTTCACGTCTTGCCGTGATACCGGGTTGGATTGGTTGTTTGATTCAGACTGATTTGTTGTTATTTTGTAAATAAATACAAAGGGGTTGGCTCTCACAGACACATTTTTTAAATATTATTCAAAACATGGAAAATCTAAATGTGTTTTTTTCAACCAATATCATGATGGAATATTGCATACTTTATCTGTTATAAGGTTAGAGTGATGTATAGCTAATACAAAAAACTAAAAGGGTTGAAGCACACAAACTCATTTCATTGTTTTATAAGTTAGTTATAGTATCCAGGTATCACTAGCTATTCAAATATCTACACTGTGAATTTGAAAATAATGAAAATTAAATGATCACATTATATCATTAAATTCATAGGTACAAAGTACATTTACTCAGGTACTGTACTTAAGTACAATTTTGAGGTACTTGTACTTTACTTGAGTATTTCCATTTTATGCTACTGTGTACTTCTCCTCCACTACAGTCCAGAGGTACATGGTGTACTTCTACTCCACTACATGTATTTAATCCCTTTAGTTACTTCACAGATGAATGATGTGAAATCTAATCAAGTGTTGAATCAGACTTTAGTTCCACCTGGAGTAAATCCACCAGCTACCCTGCAGTATACAAAGTACTTCAAACTAGCTGCACCTTCACCAGCTTTGAGAACACTTTCATGATCAATCATTATAAAACATATCATATATATTATTCTGAAATGGACCAATCTGCACAACGACTACTTTTACTGTCTTTCACTATATTTAGATGAGAATACTTTTCTACTTTCACTTGAGGAACATTTGAATGCAGTACTTTTACTGTAACAGAGTATTCCTACACTCTGGTACTTCTACTTTTACTCAAGTACAAGATCTGAGTACTTCTACTTTTACACAAGTACAAGACCTGAGTACTTCTACTGTTACTCAAGTTCATAATCTGAGTACTTCTACTTTTACTCAAGTACAAGATCTGAGTACTTCTACACAAGTACAAGACCTGAGTACTTCTACTGTCACTCAAGTTCATAATCTGAGTACTTCTACTTTTACTCAAGTACAAGATCTGAGTACTTCTACTTTTACACAAGTACAAGATCTGAGTACTTCTACTTTTACTCAAGAACAAGATCTGAGTACTTCTACTTTTACTCAAGATCAAGATCTGAGTACTTCTACTTTTAACTCAAGATCAAGACCTGAGTACTTCTTCCACCTCTGAGTAAATGTGAATGATCAGATGTTAACATCTCCTTGTACAGTTGCAAGAAAAAGTATGTGAACCCTTTTGGATTCTCCGCACATAGCGTTGTGTGTTCCTTCCAAACAACTCAGCGTTGGTTTCATCTGTCCACAGAATATGTTGCCAGTAGTGCTGTGGAACATCCAGGTGCTCTTTTGCAAACTTCAAACGTGCAGCAATGTTTTTTCTGGACAGCAGTGGCTTCCTCCGTGGTGTCCTCCGTGGTGTCCTCCGTGGTGTCCTCCCATGAACTCCATTCTTGTTCAGTGTTTTACGTATCGTAGATTGGTCAACAGAGATGTTAGCATGTGCCCAGAGATTTCTTTAAGTCTCTAGCTGACCACTCTAGGATTCTTCTTCACCTCATTGAGCATCCTGCGCTGTGCTCTTGCAGTCATCTTTACAGGACGGCCACTCCTAGGGAGAGTAGCAACAGTGCTGAACTTTCTCCATGTATAGACAATGTGTCTGGACTGATGAACATCAAGGCTTTCAGAGATACTTTTGTAACCCTTTCCAGCTTTATGCAAGTCAACAATTCTTAATCGTAGGTCTTCTGAGAGCTCTTTTGTGCGAGGCATGGTTCACATCTGGCAATGCTTCTTAAGAATAGCAAATTCAAAACTGGTGTGTATTTTTTATAGAGCAGGGCAGCTTTAACCAACACCTCCAGTCTCGTCTCATGGTTGGACTCCAGGTTGGCTGACTCCTGACTCCAAGTAGCTCTTGAAGAAGTCTTTAGCTTAGGGGTTCACATACTTTTTCCACCCTGCACTGTGAATGTTTACATGGTGTGCTCAATAAAAACATGAAAACATATCATTGTTTGTGTGGTATTAGTTTAAGCCAGACTGTGTTTGTCTATTGTTGTGACTTAGATGAAGATCAGAACCATTTTATGACCAACTATGCAGAAATCCAGGTAATTCCAACAGGTTCACATCCTTTTTCTTGAAACTGTACATGCGCTAAGACGGTCAAAAAACCATATGCCCTTCCGGGGTCAGTCACACCCAATCCGGAGACAACACACACCTTAAATACCTGTGCCTAGGTAATAGGACAACAACACACTAATGGCACGACTTGAACCCAAACATGACTTTATTAAATGGCTCTTACAAAGGTGATATTATTCTCTCTTCAGGTCCTCCTCAAAAGCCTCTCCCTGCAGATCCCCAGCCTCCTGAAGTCACGTGTCGACCCTCAGCCGGGACCACAGACGCCGGGCAGGCCTCTCGTCTCCTGGCTGAGAGGAGGAGAGAGGCGAGGCAACAACGAGAGAGAGAGGAGCTACAACAACGAGAGAGAGAGGAGCGACAACAACGAGAGAGAGAGGAGCAGGAGCACCTGCAGAGAGAGGAGGCAGAGAGGTGAGGAATATGTCCACTAAAGAGACAGAAACACTGTAGAGTGGGGCAGGCATGACGTATTTTAGTAGGCTGACCCAGAAGTAAGCGTCGCAAGGGCTACCTCTACAAAAAGCAATGAGATTTTTCCATTTAATTTAGGAATGTTTCTTAAAATAAGCATGTTTATGATACTGACATGTTCTGTTCAGCAGGATGATCTCCACATCTTTATGATTTTTGAAGTAAAAGGCTAACGTTAGGCTATAAGCAGGTAATGTCAGTGAATCCAATGTACCAAGATCCTAGGACACTTGCAGTCTGCCGGGTATTTTGGTTCTGACTCCATAACACTTAGTGAAGACCCCCAGGGACATGTCCAACTTGAACAAGGGTTTATTGAGAGTAAATGACAGCGTCACGGCAGATTCATTCCATCCAAATTGCATCTCAACCGGTCCGCTAACGACTTGATTCAAACAGTTGTCCATTTGTTTCAACACCATCATTAATTAGAGGATTAGGGCAACATGTGATTTCATTTTTATAAGACTTTAATCGCAGAACTAATACAAAAAGTTCACTATTGGTCAGATCGTACCAACATATTCACACGTGACCCTTATGCTCTTCCGTAGTTAACAACTCTTGTCAAAGGAACGAGTACGTTTTAACCTCAAAGAGACACAAAGTCTAAGGAGAGAAATTGCTAAACTACTAAAATAGGGACAAAACAAGACACAAAATATCAGTACGTTTTCTTCCAAGTTATTATTAATGCGAAATGTTATCTTACCAAGTCTTCGTCACACAACACCTGACAGTGTTCAAAGTAATAAAGCTCCATGGTGTGTGGACAGCCTCTCCTTTCCCTGCATGTCCCCCTAATGGAAAGTCTCAACATGGATCATACATGTTCTTATCTCTTAAGCTGCTCTGAAACTTTGAAAATAATGTTTCTGTGTGTGTCCCTGCAGAGGTCATCTGAGCAGCTGCCACAGACGTTCACACACTTGATTGGAGAGCTGTGTTTTCTCCGTGAGTTCCTGCAGCTCAGCCATGTTTCTGCACACTGAAATGTAAGCGTGAGCATGCACGATTCCAGCCTCGCCTCTCACTGAGACGTCAGCTTCACTTTTTCTCTGTGTGTGTAACCAGTGGCACAAATACTGGGCAAGTTCTTTACTGCTTCCTTTCAGTGCAGAACATATACAGTAATAACCATGTAGACAGTGGAGACGATGGAGAGTGTGAAGTAATAGGAATAGCTCTTCTTACAATCATGTTAGCCATATGCTTTTTGCTTATTCCTGATGTGTCCAAGTACTTTTCCTTCCTTAGTTTTCCACTTTTAGATTAGTGCTATGAAGTTAGCACACAAGAGTTAAATTGTACCCGTGTAAATTCCTCTCCTACCTGTTGATTTTGTGACGTATAGCAATCACATATCTCAAAGCTGCTAAGGAACTTAGTTTCCAAAGACTTCAGTTTTAGTGAGTGTTGTTTTAGAGAACTCGATGCACGGAGCCTTTATTGCACTAACAGTCTTCTCTGTTTGATATCGCGCGCATTCGCTTTACAAAGCAACGTTAGGAGGCGTAGAAGTTTAAGAGAGTTTATTATAAGAAAAGCATATATAAAAAACAAATGTATCCAATCCTAAATATCCGATTGCTTGTAACTATCACGTGTTAAGAGTTGATACTATGCCGCTTCTCTTGTTTTTCACTTCATTTGTTGTTGACTGTAAGCATAAAAACTAATAAACACTTTGAAACATGGAGAAAAGCTGCTTCTTCTTCAGTGCTGCTCTCAGTGCTCGTCTCTCAGTGTGTGTGTGTGTGTGTGTGTGTGTGTGTGTGTGTGTGTGTGTGTGTGGTGTGTGTGTGTGTGGTGTGTGTGTGTGTGTGTGTGTGTCAGAGGTCGCGTTAACCCAATATTTTCCGTCAATGACGGATTTTTTCTAACAATGACGGAAAAATCTGAAAGCAGTCCGTCATTTTGACGGATTAGAACACAACTCGGAACAGCGCCAAAATGTCCACCAGCGGCCCACATTATATTACATCCTTAGTGGCCAGGTCGACTGAGGGCGATCTACTGTAGTCTGTAACTATTCTTTAGTCATTCTCACCCCTGTCCAGTTGGTGGCGAGTGTGTGTATATTAAGTAACTATTGTCTAGTCTTGTTTTTGACCTCGTTGTTTAACCGGCTTTAGCAATCGCAAAATGTCACGGCAGCTGATCGTCCGAAGCTTTTTTAATAAGCCCAGTAATGTGATGGTTTGGATAAACGAGGTGAAAAGAGGGATTGATGCGGTGGAGGATGAAGGACAAGCCAGTAAGACTCAAACTGACAGCGTTCAGCCAGCGGCAGAGGGGCAAGCAAGTGGCAAGGAGTTGAAGCGGGAGTACCGGGTTCAGTGGGAGCAAGAGTTTAAGTGGCTGAGGAGGGAAGATGGCAAAATGTTCTGCGACATCTGTAGAGAAGCTAAGATGAGTAACGGATTTGTCCGAGGGTGCACGGCGATGCAGAAATCAGCGTTCAGGCTACAGCAGGTCAATTGAGTTGTTCTTGTAAATGTTTTGTTCATATTCTGATTGTAATTGTCTCATTTCAAACGATGGCATTGTTCGTATTTGCCTGTTTAGGCACAATGGTGGCGGTGTTTTTAGCGGCCTCTGCCCCCTCTGCTGTCTGTCAGTGCAGGAACAAATAAATCATTCATGTTCGTGTTGACATGAAAAGTGACCACACGGTCGGTGTCTCTGTTCATCTTTTGTTTCTCCATGCCCTTAGAAGTTCTGTATGAATCATTAAAACATGAATGAATGAGCATTTGCTGCTCAGTTCCCAAACATATTAAATATGTCTCATCTCATCATTAAAACATGAAAAATAAAATGACGGGTAATAATGGCTTATGACGGAAATGTTACGATCCTGTCCGTCAAAATGACGGACAACGAAAAAGTCTAACGCAACCACTGGTGTGGAGGCTGTAAAGGGTGAACAGGAGATGGAGCGAGAGGCTGGATCGTCTGCATCAGCCGTCTGGTTTCCTCCGTCTGATCATGAACCGTCCGGAGCTGATCCTCCACCTCGCCGCCAGACAACAGAGAGGAGAAGTCTCCATCTGCAGGGAAACACAAGACTCAAACCTCCTGGATCTCAAGGCCTGGTAGTGATTCATTTGTTAAGATATCTACTATGATAAGATGGTGTGAATGGCTGCAGTACTTTGAGCTGCTTTTGGTGGATCTTGTCCCCACTACGGTTTAAAATGGATCAAGAAATGTTCACTAAATAATGAGGACGCTTTTAGAAAGGTTGTTTCGCACAGCAGACAATTTAAAAATGTAGGAGAAACACATTTACTTCGTCTAAAAAAGTAACAGAGAAAAGGGGAAAACCCTAGCCTACTGATTATTAAAGGTCCCATGTCGTGCTTTTCTGGTTAGTACCCGTCCTCTTGTGTTATGAAGGTTTTTCTGCATGTAACGCTCTGCAGAGTCACAAACCCCAAAGTACACCCTGTAGCGAGTAAAACTCTAACACAGAGAAGACCTGTCTGTGCTGCCCCAGAACGCCTCGCTGGAGATTTCTCTTTTTCCATTTGTTTCTTCCGGGAACCAAGTGACGTAACGACCCCTCACACACACCCTCAATCTTTTCTCAGCTGCAGCTCCGCCGATTTCTCCTCCCTGAGACGGCGGGACGCGGCGAGGCTGTGAGTCGGTGTAGGGTTAGGGTAATGTTGTGAATCGAGTGGCCTGTGCTCGTCGTCCATAACATACGCCTGCCCATACCATAACCCCACCACCACCACGGGCCACTCGATTCACAACATTACCCTAACCCTACCCCTCACACCAGATACTGACTGGTTTTCGGACCCCCCCAGACCCCCCCAATAAAGCAAAAGTGCACGTTTCAGAGTGGCCTTTTATTGTGGCCAGCCTAAGGCACACCTGTGCAATAATCATGCTGTCTAATCAGCATCTTGATATGCCACACCTGTGAGGTGGGATGGATTATGTGGGCAAAGGAGAAGTGCTCACTGTCACAGATTCTTTCAGATTTGAGAACAACATTTGAGAGAAATGGTTATTTTGTGTTTATAGAACATGTTTTAGATCTTTGAGTTCATCTCGTGAAGAATGGGAGCAAAAACAAAAGTGTTGCGTTTATATTTTTGTTCAGTGTATATTACAGAGACGCTGGATGAGAAACAATGTGAGTTTAGATCTATTCTAGTAGACCTCAACAATGGAATTATGATCAGTAGAAATGGCCACGACCTGGGAGCTTTAACGGTTTACCAAAAAGGCCAAAACAAGACCGAAGTAGGAAAAGGGAATACAATAACAAAGAGAGATGCAAAATGTCTGCCAAAGCGTAAAGCAACCAAAAAGAGACCGGATATAACATAAAGACACAAAGTCTAATAGGAGATGCAAAATGACCAAAAAGAAATGCAAAACGACTAAAAAGGGAGAAAACAATGAAAGAGAAATTGACCAGAAAAGGATGCAGAGTGTCTACAGTGCAAACCATCCAGAAGGAGCCAGGATTAGAACACAGTAAAACACATGAGTCCAAAAGAGTCCAAAAGAACTTCAACACAAAGTGACGCCCGAGGGTAGAACGAATACAAACCTGTCTTGAGGTTGGATATCGTCACTAAGCCAAGCTGCTGGAACTTTAAATCTTTATTTTGGAGAAGCACCGACAGGTACTCCAACATGGCGACGTAGTGAGGCTTCAGCAGCTGGAGCGTCTCTCCTGGATGAAGAGTATGAAGACACCGTTTCATAAACCAATCTGTTACTTCTATCAGGTCGTCATACTTTCACAGAACATTACCTGTCATTTCCAGTCTGCCGATGACGGCCGCACTGTTGTACGATAACTGAGGGTTTTGTGATCGTCCCGATAACTTCACAAGTCTGGAAACGTGCTCTGATGTTATCATGACCGACAACTCAGACTGAAGTGGATCTGAAGAAGAAAGTGAAGGATTATGGCTGATTACAAAACAGATAAAGGATGTCTTTGGGTTTGATCCCACATAGAAAGAGCTAAACAGACCAATACTAGTTTGAGTCCAGGTCCCTCACGTTGTGTCATGAGGTTTTGCAAGCATGACGTCAGATGTATTAAAGTGTCATCAGTCAGAGACGGAGACAGAAGAGCGCCGAGGAGTCCTGACAAACAGCGAGCCTCCATCACAGCCTGGATAACAAAGACGGATTATACTCAGGCGCGTTGTGTCTTTTTACTGCAGGCGTTAAATCAGGAGTTTTACCTGCTGACCCTCGCTGCAGCTGCTCAGGTCAGTGATGATCCTGCAGCTGTGTGTGATGATGACGGAGCTGCATGTGGGATGAAGAAGCAGCTGACCCACTTCCTCCAGCAGACCCTCGCTCACCAGGACGGCCTGCAAACAACCCAGGGAGATATTATCAAACCTGGGATCAAAACAGAGCAGCAAATGGTTTTGATTGGACATCGACTGATTACTAGTTCAAGGTCATGAAAAAGGAAGGAATGTCCGGCAAAGAAATATCCTTGTTCTTTGGAATGACCTCTGCTTGAAGCTATTGCTCACATTTCTTGTTGGTAAGTCACTAAGGGACACAAGTCATTAGGAAAACCACATGTCTGGATGCAGAACAGACACTCCGACTACAGCGACTGAAACAAGGCACCAGACAACACAAATGATAGGAAACACAAATGTCTACAAAAAGATTCAGAATGGCCCGAAAAAATATGCAAAAACTAGATCAAAGAACAAACGATAGAGAATATGATTCTAAGAGGACGATGTTCTACAAAGATATGCAACATTTAAAAAGTCCAAGAGAAACAAACGACTGCAAAGAGATGCAGAACCACCGAAATGAGACAACGAGAAGTCACAAAGAGGCGACACATGTCTACTAACACAACCAAAAAAGACGAAGTCTAAAAAGAGACAGAATGACCAAAAAGAGAGAAACAACAGAAAAGACAGAATATGACAAACAAGAGACACTAAACCGCCACAAGGGGTCGCCAAACATCGACAAAGACATCGTATAAACGTGTTGAATCTGTGGCTCTTGTTAGGTAGGAGGCGTTCACGTCTGAAGCCCATCGTGTGGTTATTAACCCATGTGTAGAGGCCAAGCCACGCTTTCAGCCTCTGAGGATCCGCTATGTTGCGCAATTGACACAAAGTTTGCTGCTGAATAAAAGTCTGAAACAAAGTTTCCAGTTCGATACAGTCGTTGCATTTCCTTTCACTGCTTTCCATTTCACTTGCTTCGTTCTCTCATTCACCAGACACGATATTACGGTTCACACAATACCTTTTCCATGTTTGTAATCCCGTGTGTGTGTGTGTGTGTGTGTGTGTGTGTGTGTGTGTGTGTGTGTGTGTGTTCTCCGCTGTGTGTGTGTGTTCTCCGTGTGTGTGTGTGTTCTCCGTATGTGTGTTCTCCGTGTTTGTGTGTTGTGTGTGTGTTCTCTGTGTGTGTTCTCCGTGTGTGTGTGTGTGTGTGTGTGTTGTGTGTGTGTGTGTGGGTGTGTGTTGTGCTCCCGTGTGTGTGTTCTCCCGTGTGTGTGTGTGTGGTGTGTGTGTGGTGTGTGTGTGTGTGTGTGTGTGTGTGTGTGTGTGTGTGTGTGTGTGTGTGTTCTCCGTGTGTGGTCAAAAACTGTATGGCCTTCCGGCGGAACCTCTAACCACAAACATAGGTTCGTACCTTTATAGTGACCGTGTTAATTGGCTCCTACACCATGATCTAACCACTAATGTTTAACAATGAATATTATAATGATCCCGCTGTGGAGGAAACCTCACTTGGTTCGGTGTGTGTGAAGTCAGCGCAGAGAGCAGTGTGACGGCCGACTCTCTCCACTCAGCAGAGGATGTCTTCAGCAGGGACTGCAGAGGCAACACACAGTCCAGCTCCATCAGCTGCTCCTGGATCAGATCTACATCCAACAACACACAGTCCAGCTCCATCAGCTGCTCCTGGATCAGATCTACACACAACAACACACAGTCCAGCTCCATCAGCTGCTCCTGGATCAGATCTACACACAACAACACACAGTCCAGCTCCATCAGCTGCTCCTGGATCAGATCTACACACAACAACACACAGTCCAGCTCCATCAGCTGCTCCTGGATCAGATCTACACACAACAACACACAGTCCAGCTCCATCAGCTGCTCCTGGATCAGATCTACGCACAACAACACACAGTCCAGCTCCATCAGCTGCTCCTGGATCAGATCTACGCACAACAACACACAGTCCAGCTCCATCAGCTGCTCCTGGATCAGATCTACGAACAACAACACACAGTCCAGCTCCATCAGCTGCTCCTGGATCAGATCTACGCACAACAACACACAGTCTGGATCCATCAGCTGCTCCTGGATCAGATCTACGCACAACAACACACAGTCTGGATCCATCAGCTGCTCCTGGATCAGATCTACACACAACAACACACAGTCTGGATCCATCAGCTGCTCCTGGATCAGATCTACACACAACAACACACAGTCTGGATCCATCAGCTGCTCCTGGATCAGATCTACACACAACAACACACAGTCCAGCTCCATCAGCTGCTCCTGGATCAGATCTACGCACAACAACACACAGTCCAGCTCCATCAGCTGCTCCTGGATCAGATCTACACACAACAACACACAGTCCAGCTCCATCAGCTGCTCCTGGATCAGATCTACACACAACAACACACAGTCCAGCTCCATCACATAGCCATCAAGCGAGCCTCCAAATGGGCGCCACATCACGGCTACGGCGTGCGGTGAAGACTCACAATTGGCTCAGATGTCTGGAGGGCTGCCTCGTTATCAGAGAGGAGTTGAGGGCTCTAACATTAACGGCCATCTGAAGTTTGGTGGTGTTTGGACCATTTACCATTGAGTTACGTCGACATCGTGCTTCATGGCGAGTTCGTCTTTCCGTGGCAATATGATGAGATGATCAGATTTGACGTAGAGCTGTTCAGGGCCGGAGCGTTAACTATCATGTGACGTTTGGACTATGTACTTTTGACTTGTGACAACATCGGGTTTTATTGTTGTTTATTGTTTTGTTTAGTTTGTACTGTTTCTGTTTTTATAATGATTATTGCGAGTTTGTGTTTCCATGGCAACACCATAAGTCTAAACCAAACTATTTCAGTGACATCACTTATGACACACTGAAGCGATGACATCATTGGCTTTGATGAATGTTCCGTCACAGAAGATCAAAGAGATCTGTGATGTCACAGAAGATCAAAGAGATCTGTGATGTCATGATGATGTCACAGAAGATCAAAGAGATCTGTGATGTCATGATGATGTCACAGAAGATCAAAGAGATCTGTGATGTCATGATGATGTCACAGGAGTCTGAAGGAAGACTGCAAGGGCTGTGATGTGCATTCACTCCACACTCTTCCCTCCAGAGCTGTAAGTGGTGACACGCATTCAGACCACCTTCGCAGACTTCTACACAGAACACTTCTTCCAAAGAGAAATATATTATTCTACCTACGCACAACACAAGTCTACAGACGGTGCCATGGATAGAAGAAGCCACCAGAACAACAGGGGAAACCCCAGGCCATTCGACCATGGAGCTGAAGCGGATCGAGCTTACAGGCAGGTCCACTGCAGAAAACGGCCAGATAAACGGCCTGGAGGAGTATCGTGGGGCATTTCAGGAGGAGAGGACGACATTTTGCCACAGTATGCGCAAACAAAAAGACAAGGTCAAACGTCTCGAGGAGCTCCTGAGCTACAGGGACTCAGGGCTCCACAAAGAGAACAAAAGGCTGGTTGACACCATCATGGAGCATGAGGCAGAAATCTCACGTCTGAATGGGAATATTGAAAATGCAGAATGCCAACACAAGAGGCAGCTGGACCAAATTGTGGCAAGGCATGAGGCAGAGAAAGGAAATGTCTCGGACGAGAAGGACCAGGCGACATCTGACAGCGAGAACAATGATGTTCCCCTGCAGTGTGACCCAGAGATCATCAAACTGAGGATGAGGAAAGGGGAGACCATGAAAGAGCTGATAAGAAAAGGGGAAGAACTCCTTGAGTGTGTGACCATCTTGGAGGATAGAAACAGCGGTCTGGAGGAGAAGATGGAAGCTGCAGAGCTTCAACACAAAGAGCAGCTGGAAGACACAGTGGCATGGTATGAGACACAGAAACAGAAGCTCTCAGACCAACACAACGAGGCCAACCTGGTGACTTTAAACCTGATGCAGAGAAGAGAGGAACAACTCCTTCAATGCGAGGAAAAGGTCACCAAGAGCCTGGCCGAAAAGACTCTCACCTGGGAGAGTGAGAAGCAAGAGATGGTGATGAAGTTGAAAGAGGTGGAGAAGAAGAACAATTACCAGGCCAGTAGAAACAAGACCTTGGAGACGGAATTCCTACAGATGGAGGCCCAGTTGAAAAGGCAAGAGGAAGAGTTCTCTAAAGACCTGGCCGATAAGAGTCACACCTGGGAGACTGAGAAGCAACAGATGGAGACAACACTAAATGAGGTGACTCAGGAAAAGAACGACATGGCCAAGGTAACCCTGACCTTGGAGACTGAGTTCAAACAGGTGGAGGCTAAATTAAAGCAGGTGGAAAAAGGAGAAAGATCGCCAGGCCGAGAATAACCTGGGCTGGGAGACGGACGTCAAACAGCTGAAAGAACAGATGAGAGAGCAGGAGGAGAAGTTCTCCAAAGACCTGGCTGAAAAAACAGCTGAACTGGGAGCAGTTTGTCCAACGCAAGGAGACGGATGTCAAGCAGTTGGAAAACCAATTGGAAGAGCAGAAGAAGAAGCTCTCCAAAGACCTGGCCCAGAACCAGGAGAGCTGGGAGACCAAGGTTCATTTGGTGGAGACCAAATTAAAGGAGGTAACTCAGAAGAAGGACAACCTGGCCCAGAAACACCAGAGCATGGAGACCAAGCTTCATCTGACGGAGACACAACTGAAACAGGTGGAGGAGCAGAGGGACGACCTGGCTCTGAGAAGACTGAGCTGGGCAACGACTGAGAAAAAGATGGAGGAGGAAAAGAAACTTCTGGAAGACCTCTGTCTTCACATGAAGAATAAGAGCAGAGGTTTCTTCTCTCACAGAAGGGGGGAGACTGAGGATAGAGACGTTGTCTTGCAGAAAATGATAAGGAAGATGCAAGAGAAGGAGATGAGGAAGAAAACAAAATGTCTGCTTTGCGAAACAAATGTCCTATTTGTTCCGTATGTAGCAGTCCAATAAGGCGGACCATCTTGCGCTTGCAAACACCTCCTCAGAGAAGATGGAGAAGATGGAGGAAGCTTCTGGTGATTCAGCTCCAGCTGGACAACAGTAACTCCCTGCCTCCATTTCCCTCACCCCCTCCCTCCTTCACTTT